TAAAGCTCACCCCTGGACAAAGGTAGGGTAGGGATAAAAGTGGGTCTCTTGAAGGCCAACTGGGCTGGTACTTGGCTTCAGAATCATGGCTTGGGAAGGTTTAAAGTTAACCAGGGAGCAAGTCAGTAACTCCTAACATTTAAATTTATGGAATCTAGAATCTAGCTGGGTGTGGTGGTGCACACCTATAATCCCAGGATTTGGGAGGCTGAGGCAGGAGGATTGCCATGAGTTCAAGGCCAGCCTGGGCTCCATAGTGAGTCCAGGCTACCAGAACTGCATAGTGAGACCGTGTCTAAAAACAAAAAACAAAAAACAAAAACTTAAGGAATCTAAAAAATTGAGGACCCACAGGTTATCAAGATTCCATTTCTGTGGTAGAGATACTAAAACTCAGCAAAGCTCATATAATCATAGGACCTGGGCTGGCTGCCTGCCAGAATAAAATTGACTTCCTCTCAGTGGTTGTGCCTCTGTTTCCTTATTTGGAAGGTGGGTTTGTGAGAGGCAGGCAGTTGTATTTGTTACGGGCAGTGAGTCACAGGACGCTAGGGCTGGGGCTGAGGGCATCTCTCACCCCTGTGACCCAGAACGCCCCTCCCCCTAGGTGTTCAAATCTCGGACGCCGCCTGAGGCCATCGCCCTCTGTTCAAGCCTGCTAGAGTACACTCCGTCCTCCAGACTCTCGCCACTAGAGGCCTGTGCCCACAGCTTCTTTGATGAACTCCGATGTCTTGGAACCCAGCTCCCCAACAACCGCCCGCTTCCCCCTCTCTTCAACTTCAGTCCTGGTGGTGAGAGCATAGAAGTGGGGAGCCAAGCAGGGTACCAAACAGGTATAGGGCTCAAGAAGCTGTTCCCCAGATGGGAGAACCATAGCTACCTCGGCCATGCTTTACAATCTTACGCTAGGTTCTTGCCAGTTTTATACTTAAAGACTTCTGCGGCAAAAGGTGTCAATAACCCGGCCTCGCCAATAGCTGGGTCTTGTTTGGTGCCCCATCATAGTCCTCACTGGGTTTCCAGATGCCCTGGGTCCGCCCTGACTGGGTGTGTCAATTCCTGTCTCTAGAACTCTCGATCCAACCGTCTCTCAACGCCATTCTCATCCCTCCTCATTTGAGGTCCCCAGCGGGCACTACTCCACTCACTCCGTCCTCACAAGGTAAGTTGGAGGGCATCTGCTGAAAGTTAAACAGCTTTTCAGAACTAAAATATATTTTACAGCATGTCAGTGACCACCTTCATAGGACATCGTTGCCAACATTTGTGTTTAAATGCTAACTGGAAAACCAAAGAAATGTGTTTGGTGTGAACAAAAAGTTGAACTTGTTGAACATATTTAAAATTGGACCACTTTGGGTGAAAGCCCAGATTTTCTTTTCTTTTGGTGAAGAAAGTCAAATTTGGCAGCAGGGCCCACCTTCCTGGCTGCGGTTGGCAGTGGGCTAGCTGCAGCTGCCTCCTCTTAGGTGGAGCCTGGTTCCTTGGTGTGAGGGACTTAATTGTCAAGCTGGCTGTTTTGGCATTTGTTTTTTTTTTTGTTTTGTTTTGTTTTTCGTCTTTTTGAGACAGGGTCTCACTATGCAGTTCAGGCTAGCCTTGAACTCACAACAATCCTTCTGCCTCAGCCTCCCAAGTGCTGGGATTACAGGTGTGCACCACCACGCCTGGCTCTTTTGGCACTGGAGTTTGCATCTGTGGACCTAAAGACAGCTTTTAACATTGATTGTCTTTTTGAGACAGGGTCTTGCTATGCAGTTCAGGCTGGCCTTGAGCTCACTTTGTAGCCCAAGCTGGTCTCGAATTTGCAACGATCCTCCTGCCTCAGCCTCCCGAGTTAACTTTTAATCTTACCACTCTGCAGAGGGTGCAGGGGGATCTGAAAGGCAAAGGCTAACTGTCTACTGCTTTTCTTCTCTTCAGCTTTAAATGAGAATCAGACCGGCTCAGACTGGCAGGCGCCTGATGCCACACCTACCCTCACTAACTCTTCCTGAGGACCCCACCAGCTACTCTCTCCCATGTCTATCTGGGAGCCCTAAGGGGGGTTGGGAAGGGGGAGGTGTAGCCCATCAAACTTCTATCCTGGCTGGGCCCCTAGACTAGAGGGCAGAGGTAAATGAGTCCCTACCCCCACCTCTAGTCCCTCCGTTACCAGCCTGACTCCTATGATGGGCTTTTTAAGAGGATTTTAACTGGTTGTGGGGAGGGAAGACATGGAAGGAAGGATGGGGTTGGGGGCATGAGGAACTCCTACCCCTTTTGTGCCCTCATATTCCCCAGCCTCCACTTCTTCCAAACGCCCCTCCCGTCCTATGACCCTTGTAAATAGAATCAGCCCTCTCCATCTTTTCCCTTCCCTGGTCCCCAGGTGTAAATAGATTGTTATAATTTTTTTCTTAAAGAAAACGTTGATTCACACCATCCATCCTGGCCCTGCCCACTCCTACAGCTGTATCTCCACTCCTGTCCTCTGCTCCCAAGGCCTCCTCACTCCCATCCCTGTCCTGGAGGGCCTGGGGGAATGAGGAGAACTCCTGATGTCTTAAGTTTCCACAGTAAGGTTTGCCTGTGTACAGACCTCCGTTCAATAAATTATTGGCATGAAAACCTGCTTCCTGTCTGGCTGCCTGTTTGCACCTAGGTGAGGGGGTGCCTGGAGCGCTCTTCAGGGTTAGGAGGGGGCTGTGTCTTAGGCAGGGAAACACTGGGAAGCCTGAGTTTTGGCCTGATTCAGGTGCCCAACCCTTCTGCACCCTATCACGCCCCTCTGCATGTGGAGTTACAAGCTTTTCTGCACTACAGGTCTGGGAGGAGCCTGTCCTATAACTCCGCATAAATCAACTGCTTAGAGGAGAGGGAAGGATTAGTATCCTCAGTGACCAGTGACAGAACTGGAGATCTCTTGAACAGGGTCAAGGTCACAGAACTTAAGTTGCAGAGTCGAGATCTGAACAAAAGGCGGTCTCAGTCCAGACTGTTGGCTGCTGTGGGACCAGGGAGACACTGGATAAGGAGTCACTTAGGCAAAAATTTAAAACTAATCTGCCTGTAGACTCGGGTGGGATTGGAGGGACATGGAATAGGGCCAGAATCCTAGAAGATTCTCAAGGCTTCATTTTAGAGTGTTAAGCACGGCAGCTATTTGCTCTGGCTCTCAGGGGTGTTTGGAATTGACAACTCTGGGAAGGTTGGGGCAGAGAGTTTGGCTTTTCCCCTCACTGAAAATGCTAGGAGCAGATGGTAGGGGCTATAAGCAAAAGGAAATGGCACCTCTTCCACACGGTGCCAAACACTGAGTACGGGCAGGAGACTGCAGAAGGGGAGGGAAAGGGAGCCTGGGGAGAAGTAACCGCATGTCCTCTGCTGGATTCCACCTAAGACGTCACAGGACTGTTCCTGCGGGCTCTGGGCCCCGAACTGCCTAGGGACATCTATATATTGCCCAGAACAGACTCCCTTTCTTGCTCAACACTGGCCTGAATTTCACCTTGATTGCAAAGTGGGCATATAAAGCACACAGATTAGACAAGGGGAAGACGGGCTGGTCTGTGCAAAGGGCAAGTCGTGGGTTCCTGGGGACCCATTCTTCCTCTGGTTTACTGTGTATTCAGAGGATGTCCTTCACTTCTATCCCTGTACTCCCTGCCCAGCTGTCCCTTCCCAGAACATTGCCAGCCTTCCACTCACGTCACTCTGGTCCTGGGGAGACCTGACACTGCCCTGAACTACTCGGCACATCTTCCAAGGCCTAGGCTTCCCTCCTGGACAACTGCCAGCCCCAGCAGCATTCTGGTTCATCTGCCTGAGCACCTGGTGTGCAGAGGCCTTGGGAGCCTGCCCCACTAACCTGCATTGGCTTAGGAAGGGAAAGACTATTACCCCAGGACCCTTTGAAAAAATTGGGGATCCTTTCCTGCTTCCAAGACCTTTGATCTTTTAAGTCCGTCTCAAATCATAACTGCTCTGTGACCCTGGTTTACTTTTCTTCCAATTAGAATGAATCCTGACTTCAGCTTTCTGCATGTGGTTTCCGGTCTCTATCACTTAGAGGAGTAGTAGTTATAAATGTGGGCTTAGGGAACAGTCGGTTCAAATCTTACAGTGCCTCTGCAAGTTGATGGCTTTAGTTTTTTCATCTGTACATGAAGGATGAGATTGTGATCTACTTCACGCCTGTTGGGATCATAGTATACATATAATGCTAAGGGCAGTGCCTCTCATGGCCATGCGGTCAAATGTTCAGTTACTGTAGTTTCAAGATGGTCACCAAAAACACTAGAATTTACCATCCTCCTGTACTGCTGTCGGCCTGAAATGTTCTTTTCCTCTGGCAGACTTCTACTTTTTCTCAGGGTCTGCCTTTTCTAGGAAGACTTTTTCATACCTGTTCTCCCATGAAGGTTTGTTCCCTACTGTGGGATCCCAGGGTCCCTGCACATCCCCATCATAACCCAGGAAATCCTTAGACCTGACTCAGCTCTAGCCTCCAGCATTGCAGAGCACATAGGAGACCTTTGGACACAGGCTGAATGAACCAATGAGCCACATTGGGAGAATAAACCATCTGTACTTGTGTGTGCTTCTACTAAGTGCATACTTCCCGAGGGCAGAGCCTGTGTCTGGCTCATTACTGGATAGTCAGCATCACCCAGTCTAAGCTTAGTATCAGGGTACCTACAGATGTTCTTCCATAATACCAAAATTGAGATGAAGGAAGCCCAGCACAGATGGGGAACATGGTCACCTGATATTGCTGAGCACAAGGGTGATGCCAAGAGCCTCAGCAAGCCTCACTTTACAACACAGCAGGGTGACCTGGGGCAGATCACATGGGAACTTAGAGCTTCAGTTTCTCCTCAGGAAGAGAAAAGTGACATGAGAAACCTGGCAGGGCTGTTTTGAGGACTCACGTGTGTACAAGAATCTCATGAATGCCAGCCTGGCTTATCAAAGGGGTGGTCCTCTTTTTCCCCAGAGGTGCCCACACTCACTGCTGCAACCAAACCCTTTTATTGTTGCTCTTCATTTATGTCACACGAAGGCTGTGTCTAACTGCAACAGCCCGCTTGCTTCACTAGCCCCTAGTGCAGCCTGGCACAGCTGCAGCGTGTCCTCAAGTGCCAGTGGCTGCGATGTCTCAATGATGGCGATGGTCTCCCCGAGCTCTGTGCACATGATAGTCTGCTGAGGCTCAGGGGCTGGGGGTGGGGCAGGAGACGGTGATCTGGGAGGCTGCAGTGTCAGGGACCGGGCTCGGGCATGGACCCGCTGATGCAGCCGTAGGCCTGCCATGGCACGGAACCAGCGGCCGCAGGTCCCGCAATAGTAGGGGCTCTTGTTGTAGAGACCAGTGATGGGAAGCCGGGGTGCACGGGCAAAGGCAACAGGCCGCAGGTGCAGCCGCCGGTGCTGCTGCAGGTTGGAGCTCTGTGTAAAGCGCTTGCCACAGTCCAGACACTGATAGGGACGCACACCTGTGTGGGTCAGCTGGTGGCGGCTGAGGTTGGCTAAAGAAGCAAATGTCTTGCCACAAGAATGGCACTGGAAAGGTCTCTCACCTGTGTGTGTCCGCAAGTGGTTGCGTACATGGACCAGCTTCTTGAAGCCCTTGCCACAAACTCCACAGCGGTGCCGCCGTTCAGGGGGCCCATGTACTGCGCGTCGATGTCTGGAAAGCCGAGAGGCTGAGGCAAAAGACTTGGGGCACTGCGGGCAGGGCAGCTGGGCAGGTGGGGCAGGGGGTGGGGTTGGGGGTATTGGCTCTGTTGGAGCTGGGGAGGCTGTTGCTGCTGTAGCCGGAGCCCCGCTTTTCCCAGCATGCGTGCGCCGATGGTAGAGGAACTTGGTCATGTTGCTGAATGTCTTGCCACAGCGACAGCGATGCAGTGGGTTGGCAGTGTGAGCCCGGCGGTGGGCCACCAATGTGAGTTCCGTGCCGAAGCCCCGTCCACAGTCTACGCAAAGGTAGCGAGCTTCTCCTCGATGCAGCCGCAGGTGCTGCTCAAGAGAAGCTGCCTTCTTGAAGACCTTGGAGCAAGCCGTACATTCGTGTGTGCCACCCACATGGGCCCGCCCATGAGCCAGCAGCCGGTTTGCTGAGCTGAAGCTGCGCTGACACTGGGTGCAGTGGAAGGGGTGGGCAGCTGATGCTGATCCTCGGGATGCTCTTCGGTGTCTCCGGCGAGCCCCTACAGAGGTACAGTGTTGGGAACAATCCCCGAGGCCCTGGGCTCTACCGGCTGTGGACTCGTTACCTCCCACAGTATCATCAGCAAAGTCGACAGCTCCCTCCTCCTCATCCTCTGACTCTTCATCATCATCATCATCCTCATCTTCTTCATATTCCTCCTCCTTGTCCTCTAACCCATTATGCTCTTCTTTCTCCAGGGAGTCAAAGTGAGTGCCCTGATGTTCCAAGAATTCCTCTGGGGTGGCGCAGAGGGTGGAGCACTCAGGACATTCATAGGGCTCCATCTTGACCTCAGGAGGTGGAGGGGGTGGTGTTGGGGGAGGTAAAGGGGGTGGCGCTGATGACTCAGCTACTGCAGCAGAAAGGTGCTGAGCCTTGCGATGCGCCACCCACAGCTCAGGTGAGGGAAAGAGTTCTTCACAGTCCCCACACTGGTACTGGATCTGGCTTGCAGACTCCCGGAGGTGAGCGTCCTGGTGGGCCAGGAGCTCACTGGGAGAGAGGATGAGCTGGCTGCATTCACCACACTGGAAAGGCCCCTCCTCAGTGTCTGCTATCAGCTCTGGTTCCAGGCCGGCATCCTGTGTGGTCAGTGCCTCCTCCTCTGACACAGTGAGCACGTGCTGCTCTTGGTGTGAGAGGACTTCCTCTAGTGTGTTGTACAGGCTGCCGCACTCAGAACACATAAACTGGTGGTGCTGGAAGAAGAGGGATGAGGCAAGGGCCTCCCCAGGTGTCATTTCCATCACTTCTGTTGCTATCTCTGCCATTTCCCCCGACATGGACGACACGGATATTGGCATCTCCACTGTCCCTGGTGACTGTGTTGGCATCTCAGCCATCTCAGCCACAACCTCTGCCATTGTGGGGAAGGCAGTGCCTGGAGAAGGAGGGGCAGGAGCTAGTGACATACGAGGAACCCAGGAGAGAGGGGGTGTCGCAGGAGTTCCCTTGCTCATCCCATTACTCACCAGCCTCTATCAGTTGACAAATCTTAATCCAATGTTTATGTCTCCGTATTCAGTGATCCTGTGTCTTGAGGTCTATTGTTGCCCACACCAGCCAGGCATCTGCAGAAGAGAGAACACTCCTCAGTCTGGCCTGGTATGCTGCCCTCTCCTCGAGGGTCAGTCATACTCTTTCTGAGAATACACCATGTCTTTTCCAGCCTCCTAGCCTTTGTTTATGCAGTTTCCTCATTTTGCAACATCTTTCTTCCTTTACCTATGCACACAGAGACATGGCAAAACGTTTAAGAGCACCGGCCCTGGAACCGGACCTCCCTCAACTTGATTCTGAGCTCCACTGCTTATGTCCTCCCTCTCAGAGTGTTTTCTCATCTGTAAAATGGAATTAAACCAGTGCTGATCACAATGTCACGGATACTTAATAAAGGCTAGCTATAAATATTACTTGAAGTTTGCTAAAAAAGTTGTTTTGAACTTAAGTCTTTGATGCTGCTGTTTTCTCTGCTAAGAAAACTCTCCTCTTCTTGTTCGGCAAACTCTTACCCCATATCTCCTTTGTGAAACTGCTGGGACCATCTTCATATCCTCAGGGTGAGTCTGCTCCTGCCTCTTGAGGTTCCTATGATATCCTGAGCTTTCTCTGTTGTAACAAACATGAGATTGGAGTGTTTCTTTGTGTTCTTTACAGGACTGAGAGCTTGTAGGCAAGGTGGGTCTGATTCTTTGTGGAAGTCCCAGTCACCAACAAAACCACAGACCAGGGACAGGTATTTTAACTTTCAAATTTGCCCCTATGTTCTCTTCTTGTGTGGGTTCAATGCAACTCAGGCCCCCTTACACCATGGAGGCTCACAGTTTGTCTATTGGCCAAATAACTCCCCCCCAGACTTTTTTCTTCTTTTTTTTTTTTGTGTGTGTGGTACCTGGGATGGAACCCAGGGCCTTTTGAAAGCCCCACCTTCTTTATCTCTTCACCTTATCTGTTAGTGCCAGAGGGCAGATGGAGTTTAGCTTACATCCCTGCAGATAGAATTTGTTCATATTAAGCTCCCTGAGGGGAGGGTTTTTAGCCTGTTCATCACTGAGGCATTTCCAGTGCCAAAAACAATGCCCAACACACAGTAGGCACCAAGAAGGTACTTCGTGAATGAATGAGTCTCTGGGCGAGTGAGGACCTAAGAGTTTAACCATCCCTATGCACATTGCATTTCTACAAGCCAACTCTCCCATCTCACTGTGAATTCCCACAATAACAGTACTGCACAGGGCCCCGTTTTTAGGTGGTGCTCAGTAAGTACTACCGAATAAATTATTCACTAAATTCCTAGGAGCTAAACTTTCCTTATCAACCTATTCCAAATCCTTCACTGATTTTTGAGTTCTAGGATCCATACACAAGTCATTCCATAAAAAATCTTCCTGTAAACAACCAACAGGGAGCAGAGTTCCATTTTTCCTTGTTTTGCAGTCCCACTTGGAACAGAGAACTCCCCTAGGGTTAGGCCCAGGGCACGCTACAAGACTTGTACAAAGTAGACACCCAAGAAATGTCTCTCTAGAAAGCGGCCTTGAAATTTGCGCTTTCCCTGTCTAGACTTTTTTTACTTAATCTTGGATTGTGAACTACTGGGGGGACAAAACGGGGGGGGTGTCATATAGTGAATTCCTAAGTCTTACCAGGAAAGAACCCACCAAGGCCTGAAAGTTCAACTTTTCCTGCTACACATCCCTTTTCTGCCAAACTCCTCTCCTCGGCGCCCCGAGAAGTCCCTGCAGCGGGTGGGAGGGAGCCAAGCTTAGGGTACCGCACACCGCAGGAGGGCAACCAAAGCCTCTAAGGCACACAGGAAGGAGCGCTCTCCTTCACTCTGCTCAGCTCCCGCCCTAGCACAGGCCCCGAGGTTCTTCAACCCCCAGGGTCCTCTTCAGTCCCCCTCCACCCTCTCCGTACGCCCAGCGCTCCGTTCCCCGCCCGCCCCGCTGCACCCTCACCCATTTCTCTTGCCTTAACAGGTCCTGCAGCTCTTGACACAGACCCCCGGCTCCGGGCGTGCGAGACCCCTCACTATCCACACCTCCCATTGGGCGGCGCCCTTACACGTGGCGGCCAATCAGAACCGGCAGCGCAGGGCACGCGCCCTTGCGCCTGCGTGTTCACTCTCAGGCGGGTCTCTGCGAGTTTCTCCACTCAACACAACTGTGCCCTATGGGCGGGGTCCCGGCACCGAGAAGCGTCTGCGCAGTTCTCTGTGGCCGCTCTTTTCCTGCTGCGAGTTTGAAAGTTCAGCGGAGAGAAGTGGGCACAGAGCGCGAGGGCCCATAGAGGGAACTGGCCGGCAGGAGGCCTTGACAGGTGTCATTTCATAGTTGAAGAGACTGAGAGTCTCTGAGAACACAGCTTTGAAGGCAGCCAAACTTGAAGTACTTCCCCTGTGTGCGCCTTAAGTTTTGCTCATCTGTAAAATGGGCTTTGACTCCTATCCACCTCAGAGGCTGTTGAAGGGATTGGATGATCCACACGCAAAAGCGCTCAGGAGTGGGGGGGCTCATACATACACCGTGGGTACCCTATCTAGCATGGACACAGTCCTTCTGAGTTTGTGAAATCGCTACCCTTTTCCTCACTTCACTTAATGATCGTCACTTACAAGGCGCCCACTGGGTACTCAGTTCGGTACTATGCTTTCATAGGGGCTCGTAGCCATCCATCTGTTTCACAGGTGGGGAAACTAAGACCCAGAGAAATGAAGAGATTCTTCCGAGCCACCGATGCAGCCGAAGCAGAGCCTGTACTGACCCAAGGCCAGGCAGGACACAGGACTCCCGCCTCCCCAGGGGAGGTCATTCCGGGGGTGGAACCAGTCGGCAAGGAGACTTGTGTCAGGCACGTGCTAGCCCTGACCTTGAGTCACCTAAGTGGGTGTCTGGCCACCGTCACGCCCGAAGCCCTCGGCAGGGGAAGCGCGGACACCACAGCCTTGACAGACCTGCTCTTGTTGGTGCAGTTAGGGACAGGGCATTTGAATGGCTCCCTGATCCTGCAGGGAAGAGATGTGCATATCGGGATGGACGGGTGTACTGTGATTTGGAAGGAAGTTATGCAGTTCCGAACATGAGACTGGGGAATCCTGGTCTCTATCAAAAGGAATTTATAGGTGGGGTGGGGGTGTGTGCTCTTCGGGATAAAGGTGTGTTTCCAAACTGAATCATGAGACAGTACAGATGTAGGTTCCTGGCTGCCATTAGGAGTAGGGGTCAGTACTGCAGGAGATCCAAGTCTTGACCCTAAGTGGCCTGGACGTTCCTGGGAGCCAAGGCAGTCTTTATTGTAGACCTTTGCCTCCGGAAGCTGGGGCAGTGATAATGCGGGCGTCTTGGTCGTGATCAGGAGGGGGCTGTAGTTTATGAGATGAATATTTCCACAGGTCATGATGTGGGGTAACCCGGGACGCGGTGTCTCGAGTCACCTGCGGGAGAAGTAGAGACACTGCGAGTGCCAGACCCGGGAGGTTCTCGCCTTGCGCAAGCGCAGCGCCGCCAAGCCAGGAAGCTTCAGTTGCGGGGCGGGTGCAGAGGCCTCAGAGGGTGGGGCTTGTAGGTCTCGTTCTGCGCTTGCGCCCAAGGGGCGTGGCAGTCGCACCTGCGCGAGTTGGGGGAAGAAGGAGGAGCGAGGTGACGCAGGCGTAATAATAGAGAAGGTGCCAGAAAGATCCAAAACAAGTGGCTGCGGCTGTCGCCCAGGAGTCATCCGACGCCGGAATCCGGTGAGGATCCCAAGAGGCCTAAAGGCTACTGGTGGCGGGCAGACGAAACCACTCGGGCGCTGGGGATAGGGTGAGACCGCCCTTTATAGGGCGAGGGTCGGGTTCGGACGGTACCACCTGTGTAGAGAGCAAAGGGCTGCTGCCTTGGTCGGTGCGGTGATCGGGGACAGAGGGTCGCTTTAGGAAGGTACCACTTGGGTGGAGCGGAGGGCCTGAGTGGAAAATACTGGTGAACTGAGGCAAGGGCCGCATCCGGACATTTACTGTCCAAAGGCGCCGTGTGCCCTGGTCAAAGTGCCCTGGAATGGGCCGCAGTCCTTGTTTGGGCCGAATCACTCCGGTCGTCCGGGAGGCTAGTTTGGAACGTACCACCTGGGGAGGGGTCTTTGGGCTCGGCTGGCCCGACTGGCCCGAGAACCCGCAGGGTCGGGCGTCCGGACCTGTTACTAGGGGACCTTGGGCCATACCATTCCCTTCCGGGGGAGAGGGAGACCGAGGCGCTTGTGGGTTGTAGTGGGGCGGCCCTGCCTGGCCGGGGCGGGGGAACACGCACTGGCCGGTGTGGAGTCCCGACCGCCTCGTAGCTGACCGCTGCCTCCTCCCCGCCGTGTGGGTTCTAGGGCCTGGTTCTGAGCTTGTTCCGCATCCCTCCCCCGGGAATGGCGCTGTCTGGGTCGACCCCGGCCCCCAGCTGGGAGGAGGATGAGTGCTTGGACTACTATGGCATGCTGTCGCTTCACCGCATGTTCGAGGTGGTGGGCGGGCAGCTGACCGAGTGCGAGCTGGAGCTTCTGGCCTTCCTGCTGGACGAGGCCCCCGGCGCAGCTGGCGGCCTGGCCCGCGCCCGCAGCGGCCTGGAGCTGTTACTGGAGCTGGAGCGCCGCGGGCAGTGCGACGAGAGCAACCTTCGGCTGCTGGGCCAACTCCTGCGGGTGCTTGCCCGCCACGACCTGCTGCCGCACCTGGCGCGCAAACGGCGCCGGCCAGGTAAGGTTGACTGCGAGTGTGCCACACTTCCTGTGGGGAGGAGGTCCAGTCCTGCTGGGCCCCTGCGGTGGCCTGATAATGTTTCGTTCCATCCCCCCTTCACACAGTATTAATGAGAAACAAAAGAGGGAGGAGGCTTGGTTTAAGGAGGAGTGAGCTTGTGGAATTTGACCACATCAATAATAATGACGACCACTGTTTATGGAAGGCTTGTTCATGCCAGGCGCTGCTGTCAGTCCCTCAGATGAACTGTCATCTTGTATCCTTGTAATAGTCCCGTGAGGAAATACTGTTGCTGTCTTTACTGTACAAGGAAAACAACAGGTTCAGAAAAGTTCAGCAGCTTGCCACATAGAAGACTTGACTCCGGCACACGGGGCAGAGAGGATATAAGATAATGGGGCTTACGTTTAGGTGGTGCATCAGAAAACAAAGACCAGTAAATACGTTATTCATTACAGAAAGTTATGGTTACAGAAAGACTAAAACAAGGTTGTGGAACTGAGGGAGCAGGAAGTGCCTCAGAGTGAAGTGAGGCCGCCTTAGATTAGGTAACCAGTGAAGACCTTTCTGAAATGACATTTGAACTGAGGCTGTGCTGCCAGCCATGCACAGATCTCAGGGGAGAAGTTCCCAGGCAGAGGGAAAGGCAAGCATCCAAGCCCTGAGGTGGGAATGAACTTGATATCATGAGAAGCCCATGTGGTAGGATAGAGGGGTGCCCAAGCAAGGGTGGAGAGAGAGACAGGAAGATAATAAGGTCACACAGGGGCTTGCAGGTAACATAGGTAGAATATGTGGGAGCCGGGATTCAAATTAGCTGGCCTGTCTCCAGAGTTGAGGCCCTTGGCTTGAGAGAGAAGGACAGTAGTGAGACGAGTGGGAAGCTAGGAAGGTTTCAGACTGCCAGAAGACCTTTGTGTGCATAGGTTCTCGGACCCTTGCTTGGGTTACTAGAGGTGGAGTGACAAGGTTGGAGCGGGGGATTATAGGTTTTCATAGCCCAGAGTGAGGCTGTGAGGGGGCTGGGGATTTAGCTCAGCGTCACAGTGCCAGCCTGGCAAGCATGAGGTCGTGAGTTCGATTCTTGGTACTGGGAAAAAAAAAAAGAAGTAAGGCTGTGAGGTTTGGATAACGAGACGGACACCTCTAGAAGAGAAAATGGCATTTGTGGAAAAATATGTCTGAGAGTCAAATTCTAGAAGAAAAGACCAGGGAGCCTACAGAGATCTTCTTACTTCTGGGGGCCTCAAGGTGAACTAGGGACAGTTGATGAGGCTCAAGGGGCCACTGCAGAGATCCTGATCATGCTTGCATACAGAATAACTTGACAGTTGGAGCTGCTGTAGACATGGGCTGAGTGGCCCTAGAGTGGGATTCATTCTCTGTCTAGGGAACCATGTGAGCGCCCTCAGGGCAGAGGGTGTTTGAGTGTGACCTCTGGGGGACGTAGGCACCTTGTGGTCCAGGCATTCTTCCAGGGGTAGGGGCTGAAGACTAGACCTGGAATGGGCAGGAGGCTGTTAATGTTTCTTTCCGTTCTCTTCTTCCAGTGTCCCCTGAGCGCTACAACTATGGGACCTCCAGTTCTTCCAAAAAGACAGAGGGCAGCTGCCGGCGCCGTCGTCAGTGCAGCACTTCCAGCACTTCTTCAGATTCTCAGCAGGGCCAGTGGGATACAGGTGGGTCTGCTGGGTGGGCATGGTGGCAGTGTCACCCTTTTTCTTCTGAACTCATAAACCTCATCCTGGCCCATCAAGGAAGTGGCATGAGGGATCTTTGCACCTCATTTTCACAGTGTTCTATGTTTATTATTGTGTTATTGCTACAAGAGGCCGCAAGCTGTGCTCTGGAGCAGCCCACAGAATTGTTTCATGTTGTTTTCTATTTCATTTAAATGACACCATGTTGTAGGTATCAGCTTGTACCTGATTGTCTTTGCTAGACCTGTTGCTGAGATTTATTCATGCTGAATGCCTCTAATTGGTTTAGTTGCCATGTCCCAATTAATTTATTCTATCTCTTCTCCCTCCCTCAGTTTATTATTATTATCATAAATTTCAAACATGCATAGAAGTTAAATATCTTCATTTAGATTAAGTAATCATTTACCTTTTGCCATTTGGCTTTTTTTTTGTTTTTGTTTTGGTTTTTTTTGTTTGTTTGTTTTCCGGTACTGGGAATCAAACTCACAACCTTGTGCTTGCCAGGCAGGCGCTGTGCCGCTGAGCTAAATTCCCAGCCCCATGCCATTTGGCTTTATATGTGTATATGTAATTCTGGGTTCTTTGTTGAACTCTCTGAGGGTAAATTACAGGCATCAACAGATTAACTCCTCATTAGTAGGCATCACTTGAGAATAAGGATATTCTGTACTACTTCAAGATCATTATTGTACCTAAAAAAGTAAATATTCTCTGATACCCTGATTGTTCATTTTCAAGTCTCTTAAGACTGTCTCAACTTTTAGGATATACTCATGGTTGAGTTGTTATGCATGCAGTTATATCTCCTTAATCTCTTCTTACATATTTTTTTAAAATATGTACTGCTGAAGCAAGCACTCTTATGTATTTTAAAATTTATTTTATTTATTTAAAAATTTTTTTCCTTTTGTTAGTACATGTTTGCAGTACATAATGATGACATTCATCTTAGGGAATGGGTACAAGCACATAATACATCTCAGTTCTTTTTATGTCCCCTTCCCCTCCCTCTTAAATCTCAAACTATAGAATAGAGTTTTCCACAACCTTAGACCTTGAAGGGTGGGGGCCCTCATGCATGCTAATAAGCATGTGCTCTACTACTGAGCCACTCATACCTGCATCTGCCCTTTTTCCTTTTTTTTTTTTTTTAATAGTTTTTGAGACATGGTCTCTCTATGTAGTCCAGGCTGGTCTTGAACTCACCCATGTGGCCCAGACTGGCCTCAAACTCATGGTGATACTCCTGCCTCAGCCTCTCAAGTGTTGTGATTACAGGTATGCATAACCACACCCACTTGTCCCCCATATTTCCTGTAGAGTGGGAATTAGGTTTGGAGGCTTGGTTAGATTCAGATTATACACTTTAAACAGAGTTACTCCTTGACTGATGCCATGTTCTTCATTTTGGAGCATACCATGAGATATGCAAGGTCTGGTTGTCCATTTGTAAATGGGGGAAGTTTAATCACTTTGTGAAGGTAATATCTACCATATTTTTTGTAAAAGGATATTTCTTTATTTATTTTTTGAGACAGGCTCTCATCTACATAGTCAACTGCATAGTCCACATTGGCCTTGAATTTACTAGGTAGCCCCGCTGGCTTTGAACTTAAAATTCTTCTGCTGTGGCCTTCACAGGTGTGCACCACCATGCCTGACTGTAAAGAGACATTTCTTTCCTGTTAAGGTTTAACACTCTGTGGGCTAATACTTTGGATATTCTGGTCCCCAGTGGCCATTTACCCAGTGGATTTAGCATCTGTTAGTGAACCCTGCCTGTTTTACCCTAAACCATCTATCACACTGGTGTTTGCAAAAGAGTGATTTTCTAATTCTTTTCTTTTCTCTATTTCTATTAGATGGAATTCTTCAAGAAAGATTCTTTCATATTTTTTTGAGTATCACTATGGAGTCATTATTATTATTTTTTTTTTGGTACTCAGAATCGAATTCAGGACCTTGTGCTTGCCAGGCAGGCACTGTGCCACTGAGCTATATCCCTGGCCCCTAGAGTTGTTATTTACCTTGTTATAGTCAATCATTTTTCCCAAAGTTCAAAGTGGTTAGTCTCTTTTAGTATATGTGTTGCGGAGGTGAGCACACTAGTCTCTGTGCCTTTCTGCCGTGATTGCCTCCTGCTTTGTGGCAGTGCAGATGTTTTGGGCTCACCTTAAACTTGTCCCTTCCTCAACCCTAGAATCAGCTATTTCTTAAGAGCCTGGTTTCTTTTAGAAGCCATGGTATTTAATCTGAGTGCTGAGTGGTCACATTGTTTTTAGGCTCTATCTGTGAGCAGAGGTAGAGACTGTGCTTTTTCTCTTTTCTTCTTTTTTTTTTCTTTTTGAGACAGCCTCACTATGCAGTTCCGACTGGCTTTTGTAACCCAGGCTGGCTTCAAACTTGAAGCAATCCTCCTGCTTCAGCCTCCGAAGTGCTGGGATTATAGGCATGTGCCACTGCTGAAGATCTTATTAGTACATTTTAAATTCAAAGTTAACAGGATTTTTTTATACTAAAATCTTGGCTGTTAATTATATAAAGAAAAAAATTATATTGAGAAACGGATTTTTTTTGCTTCTTTTTACACCAATAATAAATTATACAGTAATAATAGAATAGCATCAGAATTACAAAGCTAGTACTGCTACTGAGCGTATCTTATGGGAAATTTGTTTGTGGTTCTTGTTCTTTGGTCATATCCCACTGAGAGTTTGCAGTCAGAATGTTTTTCCATGTAACTTGAAGTAACTGTTTTCTCTGAGTATTCATGTTACCAATTATATATACAGTTAGGCTCATATGTTTTAACTTCTGTTTACTTTTAGGGTTTGTTTCTTTTAGTTTCCTTTTAAGTTTTTGAGTGTATAAAACAGTTACATGACTCAAAAGACAAAACTAAGGTATGAAAAAAGATACTCTTAGAACTGTCAGGGGTAAAATATGTTCTTTTTTTTTTTTTTGGTTTTTTTCCGGTACCGGGAACCGAACTCACAACCTTGCGCTTGCCAGGCAGGCGCTTTTGCTGCTGAGCTAAATTCCCAGCCCCTGTCAGGGGTAAAATAAAAGGAAACTGTGTCATTCGTCTCCCAAAGTAGATCATACAAGTGGTTTCATTCCTTTTTTTTTTTTTTTTTGATACGGTCTCGCTATGCAGTTTAAGCTGGCCTTGAGCTCACTTTTAGCCCAGGCTGGTCTTGAACTCGCAATGATCTTTCTGCCTCAGCCTCCTGAGTGCTGGGATTATAGGCGTGTACCACCATGCCCAGCTTTGTTTCATTCATTTTTGATTTGTCCTTGCAGTGTTTTTGTTGTTGTTGTTGTTTTTTCTTCTAGTACCAGGAATCGAACTCACAACCTTGTGCTTGCCAGGCAGGTGCTGTGCCGCTAAGTGAAATCCCCAGCCCCTGTGTTTTTTTGAGGCAGGGTCTTTCTGTGAGTTACAGGCTAGCCCTAAACTCACTGTGTAGCTCACAGAGACCCTCTTGCCTCAGCCTCCTGACTGCTGGGATTACAGGTCTGTGCTACTGTAGGGGGCTGCCAGTGTTTTATGTTGTAAAAATAACAAATATGTGTTCTTACTTCCTCTCCTTTTATTATGCAAAGTGTAACACAGTATCCTGGAAGCTACTCTACTACTCCTGTTTTTTCCTGTTGGATCTTTGTATTGTGTTCAGGTTTTCATGATTATATATGATGCCCCAGTGGCTGTAATCATGCTTTTCACCTGATGTGAGTGTGCAAAGACGTCTTTATTTATCTATTTTTTGTGACTAGGTCTCTCCATGTAGTTCAGACCAGCCTTGAACTCACTGTGTAATCCAGGCTGGCCTTGAATTTGCAGTGATCCTCCTGCCTCAGCCTCCCAAGTGCTGAGATGACAGGCGTGTGCCATCATGCTTGGCTATGGGCTTTAGACCGGTAGAGTCGACTAAATGTTGGGGTGTGCTCTTCCAGATGATGATTGTCAGTGGTACCCCATCTTCTAGACAAGAGCATTCCGGAGGGACTCCTCCAAAGGCTCACAGCAGAGAGAGTGGTCTTGAGTTCCTTCTGGACACCTATGTTGGCCCTTTACCTGTCATCCTGGTCCTCAGTCTACCCCTTCTGTCTCGCTTCAGACTCCCCTCCGACCAAGCGACAGCGGTGGAGTCGGGGCCGCCCTAGTGGTGCCAGAAGGCGGCGGAGAGGGGGTCCCCCTGCCCCCCAGCAACAGCAGCAGCAGGAGCCAACCAGGCCTGCATCAGAAGGCAAAGTGACCTGTGGTAGGTGTCCGCGGGCTTTGGGAAAGCATGGACAGTGCCCAGGGCAGGCTGTAGAATGGGATGGTGGGGGAAGTGAGCATCTGACAGGGTGTGACACACCTTACAGGAAGGCAGCAACGCAGGCACCCATCCAGCCCCGGGGAATTACTGTTATTATCCAGGGTCCTGTGTTTACTAGGCAGATACTCTACCACTGAGCTTTTTATTTAAATCCCTGATCCTTTTTATTTTTGAGTTAGGGTATCGCTAAAGTTGTTCAGGCCAGCCTTGAATTTGTGATCCTCCTGCCTCAGTCTCCCAAAATAGCTGGGATTTACAGGTGAGCGTCACTGCGTCAGTCCATAGCACAATGGGACTCTTGTCCTTTCCATTGCCATCTTGCTTGTCCATGTCCTGCCGTAGTTAAAGGATGAAATCATGTGCTACCCCACCCCCGGGAAGCCCTCCCTGATAACTCCCTTTCTGTAATTTCATTTGTTTGTTCAGCAAACATCTGCAGGGGCTACTTATTTCATAGTCATATCTTGTGCAGTGGTGGAATATCACAGGGGTAGAAAAACAAGGGCCGCGAGTCAGGCTGCCTGATTTACATCCTAGTCTTGGCACTGAAATAAGTTGGCTGTCTGACCTTGTGCAGGTGACTGAACCTCTCAGGGCCTGTTTCCACATCTGTAACACAAGGCTGATAATGGTTCTGACTAGAGTTGTGAGAACAGACAAGTTAACCACATGATAATGCTTGGAATAGCAGCTGGCCCAGAGCATGTGCTGTGTGGGTTATGCTTTTAGTCTTGCTGTTGCTGTGCAGTGGGCTTGGGGTGGAACTGCAGCAGGAAGCCCTTGCTCTGACCTTGTAGCCGGGTGACAGACGCGTGGAACTAAGGTCACTTCGGCAGGCGCCATGCAGAGGATTGGGAATGGGTGGAGGAGCCAGGTAGGCTTCCTGGGCTGTCAAAAGGTTTTAAGCAAGGGAGTAATGTGACCTGATTCCTCTTTTTCAAAGAACTCTAAGCTGGGTGTGGTGGCACATGACTATAATCTTAGCTCCAGGGAGCCTGAGGCAGGAGGATTACGAGTTTGAGGCTAGCCTGAGCTCTACATAGTAAGACCCTATCTCAAAAAATAGGCTATTGTGCAGTAGCCCATCCCATACTGTAAGGTGTTTTTTTTGTTGTTGTTGTTGTTTTGTTTCTTACCTTTTTGAGACAGGGTAGTTCACTATGTAGTTCAGGCTGGCCTTGAACTCACAGTGATCCTCCTGCCTCCACCTCTCGAGTGCTGAGGTCACAGGTGTGCACCACCATGCCTGGCTGTAAGGTGTATTTTAAAAAATTTTTTCTACATTTGGCCCAAACTTGCTTTACAGAGCCTGTTTTTTCTTACTTTTAATAAATGTGAAACTTTGCCACTGAAAAATATAAAAAATAATAATTAAGCTGAGGTAGTTAATTAC